GGTTTGGCCCGCTGCCAGGTTTCAGGAGGGCAGAAGAGGACAGGCTGGGTTTTGTACAGTCGGCCTCACAGTTCAGAGCCATTTGAGCACCTCTGAACTCACTGCATGGTGTCATGGTTGAATAACGACAGCTTATGGTGTGAAGCTAAATATGAGGTATAGAAGCAATAATTAGAWAAACAAACAGGTGCTGTTGCATGTTTGTCTAGCTAGCACATGAAAAAAAAACACCATGTGTTTTACACAGCATTTTTTCCTATGATAAATGATATCATAWGGCTCTAATTGTCATAATTAACTCACTCACACAGGTGGAATCACCATTCTGCTTTGTAAAGAGGACAAATCGTCTGAGAATGAGAGCRATTTATTCTCTAAAACCAATCAAATGTGATCCATTTGATTCATCATGGGCATGAATGTCAAATCAACTTTGTGCTTTAATTATTTACTTGAACTGCTCCTTTTCCAGAATAGAATAATACAACATAAAACTTCAGTGTGTTTTAAAAACAAAAAATAGGACTCACAAGAAAGAATTTATGGTGTTTTCTATAATCCACAAAAATTAAAATTTTGGATTTTGAATTTACATAGAAGACCTGTTTAAAATTAAATATATAAAACCCACCTAAACCTATAAACAAGTGGTGCTAAAGGTTCTAGGTAAGGCCAGTTAACTTCTCATTAGCGATCATGGTTGACCGCATAGCAGATTATCTTTGCCAGCACAGACAAAGATTTGCTTGCCAGCACTTACTGGAATGACTACTGTTCATCTGTCCCCCTGGGATGAAAGAATATCTGTAAAGATGTGCAGTAACAGGTATCATTAAAGCTCAAGCCTACTGTGAACTGGAAGCTGCTGGAACACCAGTATCATCGTCCACAATGAAGCCAGCTTTACTTCTCCACTGATGGAGAAGAGGGACGACCAAGAAATACCAAAAACATGGGTTGAAAGTTGCAGCTCATGGGTAAACAAAGTGCCTTCTGAAGAAAGGGTTTTATGGTCAAACAGGACCAGTATTGAGTTATTTGGCCACAATGAGATGAAGGGTGTTTGGAGGAGTCATGTTGAGGCTGTCAAACATGAAAACACTGATCCAACTTTCAAGTAAGTTGGTGGCAATCTCATTCTGTAGCACTAGTGCACTGTACAAAGTGCAAATCAACATCTAGATGGTGGAAACTTGTCCAACAGGGACATTCCCCCCCCCAAACACACATTAGAGCTGGTTTCTGAATGGATAAAATACGCAAAACATAAAGCTTTTGAAATGGCATTCCTAAAGTCCTGATCTCAGCCATGAGAAGAGTGAAATATTCAACCAGAAGCCTAAAAATGGATACAAAAAGCTCGAGGTCATGTTGCAACTTACTAAGGGTAATTTATTCTAACATCGCTATGGGTTTCTGTATTTTAGGCCGTATGTATTAGTGGTGTATTCAAGACCACCTAACTCAAGGCCAAGTCAAGACCAGAGTGTACTGAGAGACAAGACCAAGACTTTTAGGGACTAGACCAAGTCGAGACCAAGACCAAGAGAGGAAAGAACTAAAGCCCTAAAACTTACAGTATAATGTGAGTAGATAACTTAATATGTAGAACTTATTTAGACTAAATCTCTTTGTGTGGGACCTGGGAAAAAGATTTTGGTACTTCCTTTGTGATGATAATAGTTTGCCATGGTCCCCACTGTCTCTTACAGTGATGCACTGCAGAATTTTAATTATCTCTGTATGAGAGGTGACCGATATCGCAACACTAGTATATACTTGAACCAGCTAAAATAGAGAAAATCCACATTAAATTAACTTCTGAATCTAGCTCTTGTTTTTTTAAAAATGTTTTGTATAATCAGTCCACCATAAAGGACAGTTCAAATAAATAGTTCAAAGTTCAAAGTTAATAATGTTTATGCCAATGATGAGTATGTAAACCGCTGACTGTAGCTGACATATCTGTTATTTATGTAATAAATATAAAGACTATAAAGAGCAAACATCAGAACTACTTAGACTATAAAAAAGAGAAAGAGGAGTTCAAAATACTTAAAACAAGGATTTTATGTCATAGCTAAAGGCTGAAGTACATGCCACAAACACTAGATATTTTTTTCTTAAAAAAGCTCAATAACAGCTCTAAAACCACAATCTTTTTTTTTTCATTTTTCTTTAACAATCTTCTCCACATGCTTAGCATTTCAGCTCTTCAGAAACACAACACGCCTCAAAACACACCTGAAGCTGWATTAATCACTGCTGACAGGCTTCGCTGTGGTGAAATAAACTCGGTACTTACAGCTTATATTCTTTAGAGGTCCCTTGCTTTTTCTTTAAAAGAAAAAAAAATCAAAGCTTAGCCAGGTGAATACTCACAACATTTACCGAGACAATACTGTCAGCAAGGACTCCTGTAATCTATATAAAAATCAGATCTTGCTCTTACATAAGCAATCTGGACTTTGCACTGTGACCTCCTGAATAACCATGGGGTCATAGATAAAGCATATCTTATTCGAAGCTTTCCGGGCCGGGCGGTCATTTTTTGAATTAGCTTGTGCCGTTACAAAAGCTGGAAATGTTGCCACTATCAACAATGTGATTCATGCACCAACAGTGAGCCTTTCTCATTTGGTCGTTTGTTTTTCCTACACCTATTAAAACCAAATGGCACCACTTTCCTCTGACCACATGGCTAAATGCTGTAATTAGGGCTGCATGGTGTTAAAAAAAAACAACCAGCTGAGGCTTCAGACAAAGCGTTGTAGTTTCAGAATGACCATAGCTGCATAATTTTTATGCACTTTGACTCATGAGGTCATAAATTAGTAACAAAACATTATCAGATGACGTTTTATTCATGTGTGCATTCTTTTTTGATTGAGCCCAAATAAGATAAGTTGGTTGTTTTTTTTTTTACTTTGTGTTTATTTTTAGTAAGCAGTTAACTATTAAAATATATATACAAATGAAATGTATTTATACAGCCTTTAGGCAGCTAGGCTACTCAAAGCACTTTACAACACAATCTGTGCTGTTTTTTACCCATTAAAACACATTCATACAGCCTTTGTACACAGATAGAGCACATCAGAGGAAACGAGGAGTTTGGCCTGAAGATGGACATGTGACTGCATCTGGTGGTGTGAAACCTCTGACTTTCTCGTTAGAAGATGACTACTCTAATCACAGCTACCCCATAACATAATCCAATAATCTGTTTAACAAAGACAAAACACACACAAAAAAACAATAAAATAAAATTCTAAAATAATTAGCAATATAGTTTTTTGTTTGAATTAATGTGTGTTTGTCTTTGCCATTGCCAAAATTACCAAAAAAAWTTTATGAAACTTTCGCAGTCATTCAGTTGACATCTATAACTGCTTCACTTTTTTCCAATTTAAGATGGCCACCATAGCCAACTGACCTAAAGGCCAACTCAGCCAATCTTACAGACCAGGGGTGTCCAATCTTGGCCTTCGAGGACTATCCTGCATGTTTTACTTGTTTCCCTGCCCCAACACGCTTCATTCAGTGGATTACCTCTTCAAGTTCTCCAGAAGCCTGTTAATCACCCTTTCATTCAAATCAGGTGTGTCAGAGGAGAGAAACATCTAAAATATGCAGGACAGGGGCACTCGAGGACCAGGATTAGACACTATGCTTTTAGACAACGAGCTGAAATTTGGTGTGGTGGTAGCTGAGCATAATCAACAATGAGCAGAACTCCACACAAGATGATCTTAGTCTAAAACTCTGATTTAAAAATTGACTGACGATCGGCATCTCTTCAAGAAATGTTTGTGTGAATGCTGATTCAGCATTTATAGTACTATTCTTATCCTGTTTATAGTTTGTCTATTTGTTAGGTTTTGCAAAAAAAAAACTTCCTCATACTTTGTGCTATTTTAACCTTTYATATATCAAAATGTTGTGGGAATARTGTGCTATGACTTATTGTTTGGAACCTTTACATTGTCAGAATTGTTGTTTTTAGCYATTAGCTACAGCTTTGTTGTTTGTAGCTTTTAGCTACAACTTTGTTGTTAGCTTCTATTTTACTGTTTTAAGTTTTTAGCTTCTGCTTTGCTAATTTTAGCTTTTAGGTACTGATTTGTTGTTTTAGGGTTTTAGCTTCTACCTTGTTATTTTAAGTTTTTAGCTTTAAATTACGGTGTTGCTATTCGCTTTTAGCCAATTTGGACTACAGATGGAAATAAGCATAAGCTAATCTGGTACAAAGCATCTTTTTAATGTTTTATTTGCACATTGTCCCTGTTTTTTTAACTTTGACCCGCAGTTTTTCCCATTTAAGTTTTTGCCTGCTTGTTTAAACTTTTCAGTTTCTTTGGCAAAGTTCAGCAGTTAGCATTCACTCAGCATTTTTACAAAAATCCATCCATGTGTTTGTTAAACATTGTCTTATTTAATCCCTGTTGCTCACAAAGTCAATGAAACTAAAAAAATATCAGACTTGTGTTCATCATCCAGACAGCTGCTTACACTGACATTGAGWTGAATGTAACTTTGCTGTGCCACAGTGTATTATTATTACACCCAGACAGCTCCATTAAGGCTTTCTTCTCTGTGCAAACACAGATTTTTCCAAACAAACAAAAGGTTGAGATTAAAAGCCCCAGCAAACCTAGTCTTATAAATGATGTGCATATACCTTTTTGATAATAATGCATCATGTTTACCCTTAACAAGCAGATTCCCCCCACCTTCAGTCAGTAAAACCATGCAGCAGAACTGATTGACCATCTTCCAAAAAGCTTCAAATGGGTGATTTAAAACAGCATGATAATAATAATAATAATAATAATAATAATAATAATAATAATAATAATAATAATGTCAAACAGGACAAGATCACGTGAGTTGAATCTAAAGCCGTGACAGCTTGGAGGTGAAGTTATTTCTGTTTGCTTTGAAAGCAAAGGTTAAAAGTGAAACTCAGCATGTTGTTTCACTCTGACGCTGGAACTTACTGTTTTTTATTCTCCGGACTGGACGCTCAGGTGGACGCACGTGCGRGGAAACATCAGCCTGCCATCCACACCTGCCTGCACGCTGCTCAGACAGATGGCCTCTCGGTGTCTTCTGGTGACCAAACACGTCCCGAACCGTCTATTAAACACCTGCCGAGCGCCGTCAGCTGTCAGACACTGAGGTASAGGACACGTTTCACAGGTAACTCAACCGGACAAAAGGCGGGGCTATTTCGATGGGCGGAGCCACCATAAGGGGCGGAGCAACAGTTTACTGTGATGATCTTGCTGGTAATGTGAAAGGCTCATTTATCAAATGAGTTTAGAAAAGTTTTGACTTGAGGTACAGGATGTTTTTTTTTATCTGTCCTGCAGTGTAATTGAAGAAAAAAAAGTTTTATTAACAATTATTTCCTTTTGCTTTGTAATGCAAACATTTTTCTCATTAAAAAAATACAAAATATTAAAAGCAGATAAGGTTCTTTTTGATTCGATTCTTTAATTTCATCTGGTGAAATTTCTCAATGTGTTTCCTGATGGACGTGCAACCTGTCCAGGTAAAATGATGGAGGGGTGGATGGATGGACATGAGTGGGCCTAAGGAGTCTAAATCCACACACTTTATGCCATGGTTTATCCTAATAAATAACCAAATAGTCTTTCTTTTTAATTTTTCCTTTTTTATTATTTATGTTACAATATATAAATACATAATAAACTTCCAGATTACCAAATAAAAAAATCACTGCTCCAAAATATCAACAACAACAATAATATTTTTATTAATAATAATGCTTCATCATTATCACTTTATTATTGTCTCCTTAGGCACAGCTTGGCTTAGACTTTGGAGGATTCTGACTCTAAGTTGTGTATCCACATACAGGATTAATGTGTAAAATGTGATTTCCAGTGTATATTGAGAAAACTTTCAAAGTTCTTCAGTACCAGACTTTTTTCATTATCCACAGGTTTTTTTTAAATGTATGTAACTAGTCAGAGTCATAAAGTAACAAAGCACAAATAGTTTGTTACTATAATTAAGAAATTTTGGTTTCCTGGTTTTCTTTTACTTGAGTGATTATTTTTCAGACGATTTGTTTACTAATACTCTTTACATTTTCACACAATTATTTATACTTTCTACTCTTTAAATTTAAAAAGTAAGCAATAGAAAGTGTTATTGTTTTAAAAAATCCATAAAAACCTACCCAGGTAAATTGCGCCTCCTGAATAAAGTAAATTTAACTGTACGATAAGTGAAAATATGTGAAAAYGTATATTGGTTTGAATGATCYATCTCACCTGTATGACACAAATCATGTCACACTCCAGCAGAACATATCAGATACATGTAGTATATGAGTATATACAGTAGCAACTGAAATGGGTAGTCTACTCTAGTCCATCCCAAGTTTTCAACATTAACATTTTAATATAACAATACAGTTATTATGTCTTTTGGTAAAGGGTTTTTGGGGAGGTCAGCTTCCAATGTCATTTTGGACTTTCTGCCAGCTCACTGACTCAATACTTTTACTTTTAATACTTAAGTACATATCAGAATGTTACTTTTGATACTTACAAATGTAAGATACTTCAAAGAGTTTACTCAAGTAATATTCTTAGAGAAGACTTTAACTTTTACCAAAGTAATTTTATAGTACTTGTACTTTTATCAAAGTATAACTCAGGTACTTTGAACTGGGTGAAGGATGAGCAGAATGGATCACTGCCCCGGTTTCAATGTAACTCACTGAAAGAAGGGCCTCTCTTCCTGTGAAGATCGTTAACATGTAATTTATATTCTGAACAATTTACATAAACAAGAATAATAATGAAGTTTAAACAGCTTAAATATCTGTGAGCACGTCAGGGGCAGAAGTGCAGCGTGGCTGACCTGCAGTCAGTGTTTATCTCTACTCACCTGTTGCTCAACCTCCAGCGTTATTACAAGTCATTTGTTTTGAACACGGTTACTTTGGAAACCTTGTCCCTGGGTTTGATCATTAACTTCAGGTGTCAGTGCTGGCAAATCACCAGGCTGACGAACGAGGACTCACTAAAACTACMGACACTTAAAGCTCAGTACTGACATCATATGATTACCCAGAAGAGTAAAGAGAAGGTTTTAGTCATTGTTTAAAGATTTCTCAGTACCGGCTGTTTCTACGTGGGTCAAACAGTTTATGGACTTGCGGTAGTTGTTGTGTGAAAGTATTGATCAAAGCAAAAGAGTGACTTTCATAATGGTTACACAGTTTAAAGACTTTTAAGCTTTAAACTCCAACATAAAACATCTCATAATGGCATTTTAAAAGGTGTTTAAAGAAAAGCAGTGCAGAACATCCATTAAGTTGGTATTCAAGTATTTATTAAAACAATTCTACCCTCTACTGGACAAAACTTAAATGTAACAAACGTGACTTGATTAACATGTTGAGAATAATTTTAAAAACTAGATAAAAACTCTGGTTCTGTTTCTTTGATTACGATTATGAAAACAATTAAAACCCATTAACAGAATATCCATGTTTTGATCATTTTATCCAAAAAAATAAGGCAAAAACATATTTTTACACAATCCACAGTGAGAGAAAGATGTGCTGATTTCAGTTTTTAAATTGTAAAAAAGTGTTGAAAACCAACAAGCTCAGCTGAAGAGAAGACTTCTTCATGAAACACTGAAAGACACAAAGTAAAGCATGTTAAAATTTGAAACGGCAACAAACTTTACTTTAATAAAAGTTTAAARAAGTCCGCTCATAAAGTTTTAAAATCATTTCCAGCATAATTCCTTTTTAAATGTTTTATATCACTGCAGCAACATCAGATTGTTTCTTTTATCAAGACTGCCTGTGAGTCCATCTTGGAAGGAAAATTTGAGAATGTTGTGTCTCTCAATAAGGYATACAGCATTACTCGAATGAATGCAGTCCCTATTAATAATGCAGACGTGTCTTCAAAGGAACCAGGATTTATTACTTTCATTAACAATGGCATGAAAAAAAAAAAACCCAAACAAAACACGCTCACCGCAGCTYGGCCTTTCAAATGAAACATATGAGGCTAATTATGTCAATAAATCATGTCAGTCAGAAACAAACGAAGCTTAAGAGGCTGGCCTCTTCAGGGGATGATGACAGGTTTTGTCCACGTTTGACATCTGATACTTTCCTCTGTGTCATTTATGTAACATGTTTCAAGGCTGAAAAAACATGAACATAAAGAAGAAAAATCTTTAAAACAACATGAATTTTGAGGTTTGTGTTGAGGATCTCATGCCTCTTTTCCACGACAGTTAATGGTGATTACAGGTCTGTTTTTGAATCAGACCTTTTAAACAGTCACACTTACAGGATGCTGTTAATCACTTTGTTTTTGTTTGCGTTCTAAACTGTAAATGCGATGTTTTCCAAATTCAGTAATTACTTATCATCGTTATTTTCAGCCCTGTGGTGACAGTAACTKAACAATAAAAGATATTTGAGATTGTCTCTTTAGTGTGTACTAGCAGCTGTAAAACCTAGTCTAAGTGGGACCAACCTTGCAAATCTGGCTAAGGTAATCAAAGCCAAGACTCCGTCTAAGCCATAGACAGCAACTAAGATGCTGCTGATGATTACATCCATCCGCATCACGTAGGTCTGCCACACCAGGAAGTAGATCGCCAACAGGATGGTTGGTGCTGTCACAAAAAGGTGACCTAGAATATAGCTCTCATTCTCCGTCAGATTGCCCTTCACACCTGCAGACAAATATTTATTTTACTTATGATGCTTTTTACAATAACTTCTATTTTTACTTTATTTAACAAAATAAAAATTGTGAGAGGTTTTATTAATTTGCATCGGGAATGTAAAAAAATATAAACAGCTCATTTTAATCATTCTTATATATTTTTAGGGTTGTCAAATGATTAATATTTTTAATTTGATTAATCCCAAAGTAGCTGTGAATTAATCATGATTAATCTTAAATTTAACATACATTTCTATTGATAAAATAAATTACTTGAGTTATTAATTAGTTTTTAATGTTTTTATTTAGAAAACAAAATTGATGCTTAGATATGATTGTTTTAATATGAAATGGGACCTAAAAATGCTCCAAACATATTTGAGTCAGTTAAATGTTGTGCAGAATGATGAGGTTAAATCAAGAATTCAAGGATTTTTATTCCAAATGAGTACTACACKAGGAATGAAAGATAGATACTAAGGTCACAGTTGTCAGCAAACATAAATAAACAAAATAAAATAAGCCATAAGAAGACAAAAAGAAAAAAAACCTGTATTTAAGGTGTTACACATGGAGTTTCTTTTATTTATTTAACCTTTATTTATCCARGTAAACTGTTTGAGAACCACTTCTCATTTACAAACATGCATGCACTGAGTGCATTGCAATATACAAACCTACATATTCAGCCATAGTAAAGTGATTGTAAATTTTAATCGCGATTAAAATCTTTAATCTATGCCCATGCAGCACTAAAATTAATCAGAGTTAACTCGGTTAATTTCACAGCCCTAATAATTTTTATTATTTTTGATCCTCTCAACTTATAACTCCTGTACATCAGATTAAATCAGATTTTTTYCCCCCACCAAACATTAACAGGACAYATATTAAACTACTTACCACWGAAGAAATGGAGAACCTGCAGAGCAGCCAGGAGGAAGAGCAGAGCAACATCACAGATGAGAGTATCAGCAGGATAGGACAGCGTCAAGCCTGACAGAAGCAGACATTATTCCTGGTTAATATTTCATTAATAAATGAAAAATAAATATCAGAGTGAAAACCCGGCATCACTAACTCTTTCTGATGATTAATCCGAGAGTGAACAGGAAGTAGAAGACGAAGTAGAGGCTCGTCAGATTCAGAAGCAGCTGCAGAGCGACTGAAGACAGCTTGGAGCAGAGTTAAGTCATTTATCACACAAACGGGCTGTTCTCTGTGTTAAAGGTCAAGTTTGGATCTTATAACTTTAGTGCATTTATAAAAGATTTTTTAGGAAAAAAAAGATACCAAACCCGCAGACCTCCCTGCAAACACAGACATGACATTATCATTATAGAATCCGTGCAGAAAACGAGAACGGGCAATGCACCGACCTATTCGTGGTTTTATTAAGTTCAATCGTTTGAAATAATGTTTTCATAAATAGTTTGCAGCTGAACAGTTTCTATAACCATAGCAACGCGTCTACATACCAGGTCCGGGGATCGCCATTTTGATTTTCCTCTTTGAACAGGAGTGACTCCGCCTAGCGGCTGGAAGATGTACTGCAACTCTAGAGGGCTTCAACATGTTTCTCATTATTATCATGTGTGGCCTATTTATTTATTTATTTATTTATTTATTTATTTATTTATTTATTTATTTATTTATAAGCTTCATTATTCCATAAGAAATAACTGTATATATATTTTGCAAGCAACAATGTAGGTCACAGCCAGGCTTCTTCAAATACATCCATTCAGTTCTCTTACCTGCCTGTCCAGAAAGGCTAAACAGCAGCTTCATTTCCTAAGGAGGCTGAGGAAATTTGATATGTCACCTAAAACATTTACAGCTGTGTGGTTGAGAGCATCTTAACCAGTTTCATCACWATCTGGGACAGCAGAACACAAACACCTGCAGAGAGTGATGAAGACTGCTGAAAAGATCACCAGGACTTCACTGTCCACAGGAAGGCTGCCTCCATCMAGCCACCCCCAACATGAACTATTCACATACCCTCAGACTGGAGGTACAGAAGTGAAATTCAGGACCTCCAGATTTAAGAACTTCTTCCCAAATATCCTCAAAATCTTAAATAATTTAATGTTTCCATCACTCGACTTTACATTTTGCACACTACCTATTGGTCCTTTTGCTTTTGTCTTTTTTTGTGAATTTGTATTTCTTTTGGTTTGTCTCTCCTGGCATTTATTGTGGACAACAAAACAATAATTTCATTACTCTGGGAAACCTGTTTGTGCTCGTGACAATAAACACTTTGAATCTGGCTTCACCGTTCTGGGTTGTGGGGAGTGTGTGTGT